GTCTGTCTCTATTTCTCGGTGTAATGTGTTCTTTGGTCTTCCTCTTCTCCTTTGACCTTCAGGATTCCATGTCAGGGCTTGTCTTGTGATGCAGTTGGGTGCTTTCCTCAACGTGTATTCTATCCACTTCCAGCGCTTCTTCCTGAATTTTTCCTCCGCTGGATGGAATCTGGTTTGTCTTCTCCCATAGTAGATTGTTGTTGATAGTTTCTGACCAACGGATCCGAAGTATCTTGCGTAGACAACTGTTAATAAACACTTGTATCTTCTGGATAATAGCTTTCGTAGTCTTCCACGTCTCCACCCCATACAGTAGAACTGTCTTCACATTTGAATTGAAAATTCTAACCTTGGTGTTGGTTGACAATTGTTTTGAGCTCCAGATGTCCTTCAGTTGCAGATATGCTGCTCTCGCTTTGCCGATCCTCGCCCTTACATCTGCATCAGATCCACCGTGTTCATTAATGATGCTCCCCAGATATGTAAAGGTTTTCACATCATGCAAAGCTTCTCCGTCAAGTGTAATTTCATTGGTGCATGCTGTATTGTATCGGAGAGTCTTGCTTTTCCCTTTTTTTATATTGAGACCTACTGCTGCTAAGGATGCTGCTACATCGGTCATCTTCTCCTGCATTTTTTGTTGCGTTTGTGATAGAAGAGCCAGATCATCTGCGAAGTCTAGATCGTCCAGCTGCATCCTACCTGTCCACTGTATCCCGATGCTTGACTTATGAAATATACTTACTTAATTCTTAGGATTTGATGTTCCCATTAACTCTTAGGTACTTTTTTACTCTCCATACCTAATTTGAAAAGCATTAGAAACTATGTATTGTGATTGAATAGCACAACAAAACAGAACAAAGTAACATTGAATTTCTTCACCACTAGCTACAGTGCAATCCTTCTTTTCCAGAAAAAATGAGAATAAAATGGTAAATGAAGATTCGCTAACATGTTAAAGAGAGTAGATCAGTTCAGCTGAACTAGTCAATCAGTAAGTCGTGGGCAATGTATAACCTTGGATATATGTTCGAGTTGCTACAACATATCACCATAACAAAATAAAAATATATCTACAGAAATGTCAGAGTCGTAGGAGTAGTATCATTGTTAGTAGAAACTAGTAGGGATAAACAATATGATTCCATGAAATCCAATGAAGCTACTGTATAGAAAATGTAAAATAATTTTGAATCTCAAAATCTAAAGGAAGACAAACGATGAATATATCTGCGATATCACAATAAATCCTAAGCCGTTTGATATGATGTCTCCAACCTTTGTTTATGATAAACACGGTGACTATAATCAAGTAGTATTCACCTACTAATAATGGGTCAATCCAACAGTCATGACCTCATAGACTAGTATTACAACTAGGTTTGGTTTAGTCTTTTTTCTAACGTGGTTCTACACTAGTCAACAATGTTCGTCGAGATGTATGAAATTACCGCTGGATTATAACATACTGATTTATGATCGAATTTGGAATAGCATCGATTGATTTGCACCAGTTATTGAGTAATCAATAACTCATTCTGAACACAATGTACAAATGTATTAAGATCGAAGTGCTACATTCAGTAAATATTGGCTGATTTACTAAGTTGTTTAATATGGTGTTTGGCAGTTGCCCAAGTTTGATACAAGTCTATACTCTTCTGGAAACCGTATTGTACACAAACTCATTCATAGACATAGATATGTATCCTTCATGTGTTTCAGTCAAATTGTCAAACAATAGCATTCCATAATATTTTACGCAACAACAATTTTGATGTAAAAATATTTCCTCACAGTTTATATCAAGAACTTCCGACCGTTGCTGCTACCTCGACGTGGTGGTCGGGCTTGCCTATCGTGATGAACCAAACGAGCTATACTGGCTGGAGCAATCGTTCCTGAAGGTCCTACCATGCCAGACAGGTCGGTTGAAGAGCGGCAAGACTAAAAGCAGCGATGTTTTATGGTATAGGAGTAGGCTGTAAGAAAGCTAGGAGCGGCAAAACCAATATGTGGCACAAATCCATGAAGTCACTGACAAGTGGACTGAGCCATGTTGGTAGGTGTAGACTATCTGGTCGGGATTAGCGAGATGATAGCAATCGATGATTAGAGACCTTGAATGACATGGCTCAAAATCGTTTGCAATGACGAAGGTGCATCCACTCTTTGTGTTCTACCAAATTCTTACCTTCTGAATTATTCATGTCTCTGTATTTTTTTCTCTTTTCAAATTCATTTCACTGGATTATACTTCTTCAATAACATCTTCAAACCCTAATCTTTCGGATTACTGCTTATACTCTTACTACTTCTACCACTATAGGATTTGAATCGACAATTCCATCTTTGTGCTAATGTGGTATGGCAACTCCAACTGTTGTACGTACGTACGAAGTTCTACGTTGTGACTGACTGACTGACTGACTGATATCAAGAACTGACTTTAGCTAGACCACCAATGAAAACCTGAAAGCACTGGATTGCTGCTTCGTCCTATTGTGGGACTCAATCAGTTTACGATAATGAACAATCGCAATCCATTTCCTGGGATTGATAATTATTCCACACCTGACATGACTGAACACCTTTGGTCACAGACTCTCATTCGAACTCTAAGAATTGTATCTTGAAGTTAGTAACCAATGAACTAATGGAGTCTAACCATAATGTATGTGAGGCAGTTATTCACCACATGAAGTGAATAAAAGTTGCGTGAATTGATTGACATTAGACATTAACACTGGTGGATCCCGGATTAGGGGTGTAGAGTTCAAGCGTTTGAATGAGAGACTAAAGATCCTGGGTTCAAGTCCCGGATGCGGCGTTATAGATGAACATTGTTGAGGAGTCCTGTACTGAAACGAAACGACCATCTAATGCTTCCATACTTTTAATGGTAGTCTAACGAAAATTAGTTCATCATTTAATCTATAAAAGTTCTACAATACTCACAACCCCCCCCCCTATACATATATATATCTTCAAACTTTTCGGAATTTATATAGTGCGAGACAATAATTGATAGTAAATTTTAAGGTCGTTGAAAGGTTAAAAAAGTACTACAGAATACATAAGTACAAATTGTATAAATTTATGGTTATATACAAATACGAGAAAGCTAGTATAATAGCTAGTTACTATACTATTTCAATAAAATAATCATTGTTTCTATTTATATCAAAGCAACAAATTTCAACAACTAGTAAATTACCTTCTTGACAAAAGGTGATACATTCTAGTAGGTAGTGAACAGTATGATATACAAATCAAATCAATCTTCACAAAACCAATTCAGTTAAACTAAATTAACCTGACCATTGTTGCTACCTTGACGTGGTGGTTGGGCTTGCCTATCGTGATGAACAAATCAAACTATACTGGCTGGAACAATTGTTCCTCAAGGTTCTATCGTGTCCGACAGATAGGTTGAAAAGCTGTAAAGCTAAAAGTAATAAATCCAATGTCCGAAGGCGAAGTCGTACTTCTGGTTGTACAGAGATGTGACGGTATTAAAGTGTTTCCTTTAAAAAACCGGCATTACAGCAATGTTGCCTTCCCACAAGGAAAGGCGGGGTTAGAAAAGGTCGAATCTAGAAATGAATACCTCCTCTTATCCCACGGATGACCGTTTTCGTCTGTAAGGTCTCAACAAGTACGGAGCTAACATAAAAATTACCCACAAAAGGGTCGTGTGTGACCTGCCTCAAGCAGTTGTCCCTTAGGCACTACAATCACGTCCTCAGGTAGCTAAGACCAAGTCTAACCCGATTTTCTTTTTCAGGTACCTTTAGAAGGACCCTTACACGGTGTAGGCAACCGGGAAGTGATAACCAACCTCATATCTCCAACAGCTACTTGGATCATACTTAACCCAAATCATAAGATTGAACCAAACATACTTAAACGACTTATTTTGGGATGGTTGGAAGTAATCAATAAGAAGACGTAAAGCTAATTTTCGTGATAGCTGGTTCCTTCTAATAGGCCTTATTTGTGATTAGATTACCGGAGGTAAGATAAGATATACACACAAAGTATACTCATGACATAAATGAAATTGGTGTTATGTAATATCAAATTTTTAGACAAGTTGGTTATAATAACACAATGAAGAAACCCTACGATTTTTTCACTATTTATTATCATAGAAGTATTTTGACTAAGAAGTGTGTACAATGTAATTTTTATCAACATTCAGTCATAAAACAGACTAGAACCTGGAAGGTATTTGCATTGAATCAAGTTCCTACACCAAGTCTCTACAACAAAATGAAATTCTCAAGATAAGCATTGATGTAGTAGAAGTATTAATAGTATCAATGGTAGCAGAAAAGATTAGGTATAGACTTGCTGTGAACACGTGACTATTTGCTTATATCTGAACAAGTAGATGATATCAATCAATTAGTTATTGACATTGTTGAATGTCAGGCTAGTGATCTAGTGGTTAAGTGTTCGCGTGCTAGACAAAACATCCTGAGTTCGACTTTCGTTTACGAGATCGTGGATGCACACAGATGAGGAGTCCCATACTAGAACGAGATGGCTAACCAATGCTTCTAGCTTTTCAATAATGATCTAAGATCAGTTCATGATTTCAAGTCAGATAATCCTTTGAGGTTTCAAACATGGTAAATAATTTAACTGAACAACATTAACGATATCAGGACTCAGTAGCTAAGTGGATAACGTGATGGCGTTTGAAGCGAAAGGTACTGGATTCGAGTCCCAGAGTGAACATCAACTCTGAGATACAGGTACATCCAGCTGACAAGTCCCAAATAGGACGAAACGAACATCCTGGATTCCACTGCTAGCCACTATCCATCTTTGCTTATAATGCTTATGAATTAAAGGTATATCGAGGCAATACGCACAGGATGCACATATGGTCGATAAGAGACTGACCGGTTGCAATCTTAAACATCAATGAAAAGATTCAAACAAACAATACTAAGTTGAATTTAAACATTTAAACTATATGTACATACTTGTTTTATTTCAATCTGAGGTAACTGTCTATATTGACTTGGCGTTTTCCTTGTTTTTCTAACCTGTTTAGTAGTATCATGATCCATTTGCATTGAAACATTATGAGTATTATTCTTCAGCTCTTGAATATCTCTTTCATTAGACTGATTATTATTATTATGTCTTGAATGTTTAATAGAAGGTTCCATTTGTTCATTGTGTACTCTCTTATTTGAACAACTTGAGGATCTATGTAATGAAGATTTTGGTTTACGGTAATAATAAGATTCTGAATAAGGTAATAATGACATCATGGTTTGTTTATTCTTTTGTGAATATTTTCTTTTTATTTGATTTTTCTTGTTTATATTTTGTTGTTTATTTGGATTGTTCTGAAAATAAGGTATAAAAAAAAATGTAAATAATAGTTCGTTATTTCGTTTTTATGTTGATTGGCGGCCTATACTCCATTGGGAGTAACAGGCGGAAGTAATCTTAGTCAGTCAGTCAGCTACAACGTAGGACCAGGCACATATATGCATCGGTTCAAGTTGCCATACCACAATAAGATGAACACCGAATTCATAGAAACATTTACTTCAATGGTAGTAATACATAAAAGAAAGATTGTATATAAGGATATAGTATAGGAAGGAAGATAGATATGAAGCAATTTTAATCTCAATGTTTAAAGGAAGATAAAGAGTGTATACACCTACACCATTGTGATCGATTTTGAGCCATGTCACCTAGAATCTCCAACCATTGGTTGCGATAGTCACGCGGATCCCAACCAAGTAGTCTGCATCTACCGACATGGCTTAGACTAGAAGTTAATGACTTTAAGCTCTGATGCCACGTTTTGGTTTGGCCGCCTCTAACTCTAATTGGTTATGAAAATAAAGATACCATAATTTTAAGATTATTTTTGTGATTTGATGGGATTTAACTAAAGGATTATTGAACAGTGAGTTGGTACTAGTTTCAAAGTTATCATGAATGAGAAATCGTGACATTATATAAGGAATCGAACTCTGAGGATTTTTAAGTCACACACAGAAAGTATAATTATATTAAATTTAGTTCATTCTCAACTGTCTAGTGATGATCATTTTATGTCATCAGTAATACCTGTTGTTCCATTGAGTATCTTAATTGGTAGAACGTTTTCATGAGAATTTTACGACTTCATTTATTGAAATGAATTACTAGTGAGCATATGGTTTCCAAATAGGAACAAAATAATTAACCAATATTTATCCTCGATGTTTTGAGTTTGGTTCTTTACTAACCGGTATTAGTTCATAATGAAAACGAAATTTATATAGAAAGATATCCACTAACCTCGGCCTTTCTCTAGGCCTAGAAAAAGGCACTAGGTAAGGATGGTAAATCAATTGATGAAGTAGTGAAACTTCATCAGTTGAGATGGCTGCGACACGTGCTACGTATGCCCAACCACTGACTGCCCCGATGTACAATGTTTTATGGTGTAGAAGTAGGTTGGAAGAAAGCTAGAGGCGGCCAGACCAAAACATGGCACAAATCTATGAAGTCACTGACAATTGGACTGACAAATGTTGGTAGGTGTAGACTACCTGGTTGGGATTAGTGAGATGATAGCAATCGATGATTAGAGACCTTGAATGACATGGCTCTAAATCGTTTGCAATGGCGAAGGTGCATCCATTCTTTGTGTTCTCCCAAATTCTAATCTTCTGAATTATTCATGTCTCTGTATTTTTTCTCTTTCCAAAGTTACTTGACTATATTAGACTCCTTGAAAAACATCTTCAAACCCGATTTTTTCCGATCACTTTTTATACTTTTACTACCTCTACCACTATGGGATTTAAATCGACAACGACATCTCTGTGCTAATGTGGTATGACAACTCGAACTGATGTACGTACGTATGTACGAAGTTCTACATTGTGACTGACTGACTATCTTAATTATTTGGTTTCGTTAAATACCTCTAATACGACCGAAGTAGTAGATAACTAGTTCAACAGTTAGCTTTCACGTTTAAACGCCACTTGGTTTATTTTGATGGTTTGCGGTACCTAAGTAAAGTATAGTCAATCCTCACTTCGGAAAAGTATAGCTCAAAGCCAACAGACTACTAAAGTCAGTTGAAGTATTTTATACTACATACTATTTATATTCACCGAGTAATTGAAGGTGATATTACTAGAAAAAAATAGATTAGATCACTCAGAACAAGAACCCTTACTTATGGTTAGAACATTGAATGATTTAAATACAGCTGGCGAAAGGCGAAATGAATTACAGTTTCATGTTTACTGGAGTATGTTAAAAAGGTGAATTTGATTATTTAAGTAAATTGATCTTTTCAGAAAGAATCGAATTCCAATCTGCTTCTCAATATCCTATAACCCAGGCAAGTACTGACCGGGCCCAACGTTGCTTAACTGCGGTGATCGGACGAGAACCGGTGGTATCGTCGCCGGCTCACTATCCTATACAAAGACTAAATGATTACACAATTTTAGCTTTCATTCACCTTTTTTTATGAATGGTCTGTTTAGTTTCTACATTCTAATGGATGACATGAACCAGTTCTGATGAGAGTGTGACTATTAAGACAGACGAATTTGATATAATTGGCTTGGTTGTACTATTCTATTGAGAAGATCAGTAGGAATACAGTTCCTTGAAATGGTGAAGATTTGTAGCTCTGGTGGGTGATTTTGATGGAGTTTTGTTCTCTGAGCTAAATGGTTTGGTTGTGGAGCTTTCATCGTCCTTCTGAACGACATCATCAGCACAAACTTCGGGTAGAAGTTCCTTGAAGACTAAATTCCTTTTCTGATGCATAGCATACATTATCGTGTAAATATATTTAGAGAAAATATAGGGTATCATTTTCTTTTAAAATTCCGATGTCTTCACAATATATACGTAAGCTACAGTTTTGTAGATAAAAATCCTACTTGTAATGGCTTGTATTTCTTCATTGCTAATATCAAGGACTGTAGTGAGTCAGTTTCTACTCGTATATGTTCATTCTGATCGAATTACTTTGACATTTCCATTTAGTCACGAGTGTTTACTAAAGTTGGCTAGTGGATCGCAGTGGAAATCAGGGAATGCATTTTGTCTTATTCAGTATTAATCAGCAGGATGCATCCACATATCAGTATTAACATTCACACAGAAACCCGATCCTAGTACCTGTCAATTCAAATGCCCAATGTTTTATCCACTGACGCAGATATATTCGGCCTATGAGTTCCAAACAGAAAAAAAAACACGAGTGTCAGATTTCATTGCTTATCACTATCCAATTTTAGGTTTTAAAAAACTAACTTCATTTAACTTAGCACTGTTAAGCATAGTCATTACTCACTATATTCCTAGTTGTTGGTCATTCAAAAAACACTTACACTCCACAGTTTATGGCGACACGATTCAAGGCAGAAATATAAATTATTGTATACCAACTCCACAGCTTGAGTCCACAAAGCCTGAAGTCATAGGTTTGACCTTAGGTGTAGTTGTGGGTACGTATTGATAAAGGATTATGTACTAGAACAAAAAAGACGTCCAGTGCTTTCTGTTTCATCAATATTTCTCTAACTGAAGTCAACTGGTGATACAAAATTACAAAGCTCAACAGTCCCCAAAATTCTCAATACCAATAACTTAACAAAATAATTAAAACCTAAAATACATCTATTTGTTACTCACTGTCATGTTTCATACAGTATATTTGAACAATGTAAGGGACACTGTAAGGGATGAGCCAATCAGAATCAAGAACTCGACTTCCAGGCTAGTCTAGCTAATTCCAAATATTATGTAGAACGAGCAGTACAACTACCTTTGTATACTGCTCAGAATGCTTAAAATGATGGCAGAAAGTTAATTTTTCTTTTCATAAAGTACAAATGATACTTACTTACATACTTACGCCTTTTACCCCTCGTCGAGGAACATAGGCCGCTCACCAGCATTCTCCATCCAACTCTGTCCTGGGCAATCCTTTCCAGTTCTTTCCAGTTAACATTCATCCTTTTCATATCTCCTCCAATTGTATTGTGTTCTTTGGCCTTCCTCTTTTCCGATTCCCTTCCGGATTCCAAGTAAGGGATTACCTTGTAATGCACATTGGTGATTTCCTTAATGTATGTCCTATCCACTTCCAATGTCTTTTCCTAATTTTCTCTTCAGCTGAAAGCTGGTTTGTCCTCTCCCACAGAAGGCTGTTGCTGATAGTATTCGGCCAATGAATGTTGAGTATTTTGCGTACACAACTGTTTATAAATACTTGTACCTTCTTGACGATGGATGTACTAGTTCTCCATGTTTCAGCTCCGTACAGTAGGACTGTCTTGACGTTCGTATTGAAGATTCTCACTTTTAAATTAGTTGACAGTTGTTTGGAGTTCCATATGTTCTTCAATTGTAGAAATGCTGTCCTTGCTTTTCCAATCCATGCCTTTACATCTGCATCCGATCCTCCTTATTTATCAATGATGCTCCCCAGGTATGTGAATGTTTCCACCTCTTCCACAGTTTCATCAATGTGGTGAATTAAAAATCCGTTTCGGTCCTTTTAAGGGTTCAGGAGTATGGACAATCTGTATCCATAAGGATGAATATATATGTTATTGTCTTTTTTTATTTACAGGTATAGTAAGCTGGAGAAGAAAGCAATAGATTTATCGATAAAGGAAAATCCATTCACACTTGCAATACTGTTGTTCTCTTTTCCACCAACTAACCATTTATATAAGCTTTTTTCTGATCAGCTAAAAAACTGGTTGGAAATTTGTTGTGATGGTTTCAATCTCGTTCTTAAAGTATACTAATACACATCTTTTTTACAGTTAGGTCAGATAACTACTATGTTATACTACAAAAGGGGGATAAATTTGTATATAAGTAAGTAAAGTAAGTAAGTAAGTAAGTAAGTAAGTAAGTGAGTAGGTAAGTAAGTAAGTAAGTAAGTAAGTGAGTGAGTGAGTGAGTGAGTGAGTGAGTGAGTGAGTGAGTGAGTGAGTGAGTGAGTGAGTGAGTGAGTGAGTGAGTGAGTGAGTAAGTAAGTAAGTAAGTAAAATAAGCAAGCCAGTAAGTAAGTAAGTAAGTAAGTGAAATTTGTAGCGATTGTTTTAATCTCGTTCTTAAAGTGTACTAATACACATCTTTTTTACAGTTAGGTCAGATAACTACTACGTTATACTACAAAAAGGGGGGGGCGGGGTAAATTTGTATATCGTACATATTGAATTACTTTATTTAATCTCAATCATAATTACCATTTCATCTGAATCATGTGTTTCTAAAATTTCTAATTTCTCTAATGATCTTGGACTTTTGATTATTAACTTAGATAGTATCGCTTCTTCTGAACGTTGCTGACGTTCTTCCTACAGAAAAAAATATAAGAAAATTAGACAAAGTTCAGCAGAAATAAGATTATTTTATATCAGATTAAAAATTTATATTCATCATACTGGAATTCATGGCAACACTATGGAGGCTTCTTCGACACTACGGAGTGCCTCAAAAGATAGTCAATATCATACGAAACTCCTATGATGGACTAAACTGCCAAATCGTCCACGGAGGACAACTCACCGACTCGTTCGAGGTAAAGACCGGTGTTAGGCAAGGTTGCTTACTCTCACCGTTTCTCTTTCTCCTGGTGATCGACTGGAATATGAAGACGTCAACATCTGGAGGAATGCACGGTATACAGTGGACAGGTAGGATGCAGCTGGACGATCTAGACTTTACGGACGATCTGGCTCTTCTATCACAAACGCAACAACAAATGCAGGAGAAGACGACCAGTGTAGCAGCAGCCTCAGAAGCAGTAGGTCTCAATATAAAAAAGGGGAAAAGCAAAACTCTCCGATACAATACAGCATGCACCAATCCAATTACACTCGACGGAGAAGCTTTGCATGATGTGAAAACCTTTACATATCTGGGGAGCATCATTAATGAACACGGTGGATCTGATGCAGATGTAAGGGCGAGGATCGGCAAAGCGAGAGCAGCATATCTGCAACGGAAGAACATCTGGAGCTCAAAACAATTGTCAACCAACACCAAGGTTAGAATTTTCAATTCAAATGTGAAGACAGTTCTACTGTATGTGGCGGAGACGTGGAAGACTACGAAAGCCATTATCCAGAAGATACAAGTGTTTATTAACAGTTGTCTACGCAAGATACTTCGGATCCGTTGGTCAGAAACTATCAACAACAATCTACTATGGGAGAAGACAAACCAGATTCCATCCAGCGGAGGAAAAATTCAGGAAGAAGCGCTGGAAGTAGATAGAATGCACGTTGAGGAAAGCACCCAACTGCATCACAAGACAAGCCCTGACATGGAATCCTGAAGGTCAAAGGAGAAGAGGAAGACCAAAGAACACATTACACCGAGAAATAGAGACTGACATGAGAAGAATGAAAAAAGTGGATAGAACTAGAAAGGAAGGCACAGGACAGGGGGAGTGGGTTGGAGAATGCTGGTCGTCGGCCTATGCTCCATTGGGAGTAACAGGTGTAAGTAAGTAAGTATACTGGGATTCATGGAGCTTGCAGAATTTTCATGTTTTAAATCATGAATTAATTTTAGTTAGACTACCATTTTAAATCTGGAAGTACCGAATAACCGTTTTGTTTAAGTATGGGACTCTCTACCAGTGTACATCCATGACTCCACATCCGGGACTCGAACCCAGGACCTTTAGTTTCGCGTGCAAACGCTTAACTCCCGGACCACTGCCTCGAGATCCAATGGTGTTAATGTTTAACTTCAATCAATTCACGATATTGCGCAACTTTTATCCATTATCTGTGGTAGAAATTCGATTCACACGCAGTGCAACTCAGTTGTCTAGAGGTTAGGCGTTCGCGTGCGAGGCTGAAAATCCCAATTTTAATTCCTGGTTATAAGGTCGTGGATGCGCACTGTTGAGGAGTCCCACATAATAACTAAACGGTCGTCCAGTGCTCTCATACTTTCGATGGTAGTTTGGCTAAGGTCTGTTCGAGATTAAGACTGAGAAATTATAAATGTTTGTTCACGTAAAACTAACCCGTTTGAAGAGCTGTATCATGTTATAAGACTTTGTATATAATGAGAACACTTAGATCAATATATACATATATAACTACATCATGATTACGAAGGAACTAAAGTTATGTTTGTTTAGTCCTCTTATTACTGATTGGATTCTATCGACCAATTTTCAATGTAGTTATTAATTTAAACGGCTAAACAGTGTGTGTATTATGTTTTGAGTTTACATGATGGTTTTGATCAATCAGTGGGACCCTCTGGATATAGACTTCATGCTAGTTCGAACTTGTCAACAAGTTATACTTGAAAATCTTGAGAAGTTGTAGGACGTGGGGTTTGAGCCCGTATCACCAAACGTCATTGTCAGCAATGGTACTACTGCTGAGCAATTCATACGGCTTTTCATCATGTTCAAACATAAAGTAAATGATGTGTTCTATGGTATTCTAGATATAAAATGTACAAAACATATACTGCAGTCTACAGTTTACTTTACTAATGTTTCATCAAAAATGAACAAACCATTATCTCCTAAAATATTTTTTCAAAATAATCCCACGTTCTGTTTTAACCAACGAGTTAACCATTTCACACAACAGATTGACCTCAGTTATACAACCAATGAAAACTAGAATGCATTGACAAGTTGTTTAGTTCTAGTATGTGAGCTACAATTAGTACGCATCTACAAAATCATTACGAATTGAATTTTAAACCTTCAGGTCTCGTGAAGCCTAACCTTCAAACTTCTGATTTAAGAGCCAATAATTTAAATGGTGAAATCATAATTTATAGACAACGTTTGATAAACAGTAAAATGATCTTCAAAATGCCTACCCAATTACTAAGGTTAAACCAGGGTTATAGATTAGTGTGAGGAATTAGGATGAAGATTTAAAGTTGGACATTAGAACTAAGAATTAGAGTTCATGTTTTAATCACAAACCGACATCAGCTATAATGCCAAAGCTAGGGGCGGCCAGACCAAAACGTGGCACAAATCCATGAAGTCACTGACAAGTGGACTGAGCCATATTGGTAGGTGTAGACTATCTGGTCGGGATTCGCGAGATGATAGAAATCGATGGTTAGAGACTTTGAATGACATGGCTCAAAATCGTTTGTGTTCTACCAAATTCTAATCTTCTGAATTCTTTATGTCTCTATCTTTTTTTCTCTTTTCAAATTTATTTCACTGGATTATACTTCATCAATAACATCTTCAAACCCTAATTTTTCGGATTACTGCCTATACTCTTACTACTTCTACCACTATAGGATTTGAATCGACAACGGCATCTTTGTGCTAATGTGGTATGGCAACTCGAACTGATGTACACACGTACGAAGTTCTACGTTGTGAATGACTGAGTGATAATGCCAAAGTACTATTTGGTCAAATAGATGAATGAACTTTTCACCAAAATCCAAGAACTGCTATCTGAAATCTGATTGGTTCGTCTTAAAGTTATAGTCTCTCCGGTACAGTTGAACTTGACTAGTTGCTTGATTTGATCCTGAATGAGTCTCATACTACGACAGAGTAGCTGTCTAGTGGTTGCCTAACTAAGATCATTCATCAATGTAGACTATGAAATTCAACAATCTCCATAAATCCTCTACAGTAACACTCATATTTATTGGATAACATTTGTAATTTTCATTCTGCTGAGGAGTCCCATAATAGGACGAAACGGCCGTTCAGTGCTTCCAGGTTTTCCATGGTGGTCTAGCTTCAATTGACTCATGATTTCAACTATGAAAACATTCCAAAATAGTCAATAAATCCATCTAACAAATTCTCTGTATAGATGAAATTTACATGACAGTATTCTAGGAATATCAGCTTTTGTCCTTTTATACAGTCATTTCCAGTACAATGATAGTACATATTTCACTTTTTAATCTATAAATGATCAACTCTCGAACTGTTTACAATTTTCTCTTCAAAATAAACTATCATATATTAAAATTCATTTAGTATTGTTTGTTTGAATCTTCCTATTGATGTTTTGGACTGCAACTGGTCAGTCTCTAATTGGCATATATGCATACTGTGAGTATTGCCTCGATATAGCCTTAATTCACAAGCATTGTAAGCAAAGATGGATAGTGGCTAGCAGTGGAATCCAGGATGTTCGTTTCGTCCTATTTGTGACTCGTCAGCTGGATGTAGCTGCATCTCGGAATTGATGTTCACTGTGGGACTGCAACCCAGTACCGTTCACTTCAAACGCCATCACGTTATCCACTCGACCAATGACTCCTCATAGTCACTTGCTTGTGCAATGGGGTAAAGTTAAAAATCACTTAGTATTGTTTATTTGAATCTTTCCATTTATATTTTAGGACTGCAACTGGTCAGTCTCTAATTGAAATAATGCATAAGATTTATACTGTAATAAAAATGAACTCATGCAGAGATGTACCATTACAAATGGAAACAAGTACAAGGTTCATCTCATTCTCTCTCTCTCTATTTCTTTGTTTGTTTCGAAAGAAAAGACAATTTATCTAAGGATAAGATCCTGATCATAAAACTAATCTTAAAAATTCTTATTAAAACAACTATTAACGTTTTATATATTTTCTTTTTTGTTAGAGTGAATAGTATAAAATGAATGTAAGTAATCAATAACTAATTAGTAGTATCAGTAGTATCATCAAATGTAAGATTGATAACAGAGAGAAGAGTGAATAGAAATGAATATTGAATGTATTTTGTTTAAATTATTACTTACTTACTTACGCCTGTTACTCCCAATGGAGCATAGGCCGCCGACCAGCTTTCTCCGACCCACTCTGTCCTGGGCCTTCTTTTCTAGTTCTATACAGTTTTTATTCATTCTTCTCATGTCTGTCTCTATTTCTAGGCGTAATGTGTTCTTTGGTCTTCCTCTTCTCCTTTGACCCTCAGGATTTCATGTGAGAGCTTTTCTTGTGACGCAATTAGGTTATTTCCTCAATGTGTGCCCAATCCACTTTCAGTGATAGAAGATTCAGATCGTCCGCAAAGTCTAGATCGTCCATCTGCATCCTGCCTGTCCACTGTATACCGTGCATTCCTCCAGATGTTGACGTCTTCATATTCCAGTCGATCACCAGGAGAAAGAGAAACGGTGAGAGTAAGCAACCTTGCCTAACACCGGTCTTTACCTCGAACGAGTCGGTGAGTTGTCCTCCGTGGACGATTTGGCAGTTTAGTCCATCATAGGAGTTTCGTATGATATTGACTATCTTTTGAGGCACTCCGTAGTGTCGAAGAAACCTCCATAGTGTCGTCCTGTCCACACTATCAAATGCCTTCTCGTATTCGATGAAGTTGATGTAGAGTGATGAATTCCATTCGATTGATTGTTCCACAATGATACGCAGAGTTGCGAGTTGATCTATACACGATCTATCCTTACGAAATCCAGCTTGTTGATCTCGAAGTTGGGCGTCCACGGAATCCTTCATCCTGCTTAACAATACTCCTTTGAAGACTTTTCCTGGTATTGAGAGAAGAGTGATGCCCCTGTAATTGTCGCACTTGATGAGAAGTCCTTTTTTCCAGTCGATTGGTACTTGTTCTTCATCCCAAATCCTACTGAAGAGGATGTGGAGTATCTTGGCAGTTGCTGCTACATTTGCTTTCAGTGCCTCTGCAGGGATGTTGTCTGGTCCCGCTGCTTTGCCGCTCTTGATTTGTCAAATGGCAATGCTGATCTCTTCAATTGTTGGTGGGCCGACATCGATTGGGAGGTCTGTGGGCCGACATTGTTTAAATTATATTTCCAATTAAAAGATTTAAATGAAACATTATGATCGTAAAATACAAAGCCTTATATTTTAATCTCAGGGAGTATTGTTTGAAAATGATTATCATTATCAATCAGTCAATCAATCTAAATATGCCAGCCAACTTGGTCCCGTGTACAGTTACGGATATGAGGACAGTTATCACTTCCCGGTTGCCCACACCGTGGAAGGGTATTTCTTGAGCGACCTGAAAAAGAAGTTGCATTAGTGTTGGTCTTAACGACCTAGGAGCGTGACCGCAGTGCCCAAGGGACAACTGATTGAGACCAGTCACGCACGGCCTTTTTGTGGGTGATTTTTGACGTGTTAGCTCCGTTCTTCAAAGGACCTTACCGCAGGAGACGGATATCTTCGGGATAAGGCAAGGTGTGCATTTTTAAGGTCGACCTTTTCTAACCCCACCATTCCTTGTAGGAAGACAGCATCGCTGTTATGCTGGTTATCTGAAAGAAACAACTTACTGCCGTCACACCTCTGTACAGTTGGCAGTATGACTTTGCCTTCGGACCTTGGGATTGCTGCTTTTAGTCTTAGCACTCTTCAACCGACCTGTCTGACATGGTAGGACCTTGAGGAACGATTGTTCCAGCCAGTATAGCTCGACTAATTCATTACGATAGGCAAACCCGACCACCACGTCAAGCTAGCCTTATAATAAGTCAGTCGATGCAGAACAGATTAAAGATAACGTCTTAAACTGTGAACATGCATGGCAGAAGGTCGAATCCCATATGACGCATTAGTTTCTTTGAAACTGCAGGGAATCCTGACTGGAGAGTGACTACGAGAATAAAATTTAGTTCAGTGGTTTCTTGATGACTAACTCTATACCTAATCTCTATCATTTTGTGAACTGTTGTGATAAGAGGTCACCCGATGTTCGATATTGTTACACACCTTTTCTATACAAGAACCCAACATGATGCTAATAAATTAAATTAAATACAATCATTTACCTATGTATCCTTTCATGTAAGTTCTTCCTATACATCTATTTGTCCGTTTATTTGTTCATATATTTTACCTATTATATATATATATATATATATATATATATATATATATATAGTGGATCTCTATAGATGGCTTGGGTAAAATTCAGTAAAGAGAGAACAATTAGACAGCAATCAAAAATAGCCGATTAAATGTAGAGAAAGTCAAGGAACAGATCGAATATACAGAAGCAATCAAGGGAGTGAATAGGAACATTAGAGACGATGGGTGGAAATACGTGAAAGACCTAGAAATGACGGCGAAAAAAAGCTGAAAGAGAAGGAAATATGAGGCGAACATATGACACAACGCGGAAGCTAGCTGGAAAATATGGGAAACCAGAGTTTTCAGTTAGCAACAGGCAAGGCAAACCAAACACTGAGATCCAAGAGCAGAGAAACAGACAGTAGAGACAGTAGGGCCCCCACCGGTAAACCTACCAGATATTGAGGCAGCATATACAGGCTTCCATATACATGTTACCATACAAACAATCGAAAGAACTAGTACAGCCTTCACGTAAAACAATTATGGCAAAGCAGTAGGACCAGACAGCATACCAGCTAAGGAACTAATCAGACATAAGAGTAACTGAGAAGATGCCCCATGTTCTCTTCAGAACAATTTTACCGGAGGGACAGGTACCGACAAAGTAAAAAAAAGAATATTGAAGAGAAGAAACATTATTAAGTGTGAGAACTACATAAGAACCACACTACTAAGTAGTATTAGACAAAGTTTTCAATTGAGTGTTGCGAAACCAAATGACATAATAAATAGACGCCCCACTTTGTGATCAGGAAACTGGCTTCCTAAGGATCAGCTTTGTGCTTACCAAGTTACAGCACTACGAATCACTGTCGAATAATTAGTTGGATAGGATTTATAGCTATGCATCAACTTCTTTCTCTGGTTATTGCTCTATGTCTTAAGAGGGGTGTCAGATTTAAGTAACCAAGTAAATGAGTCTGTTTTTAATCACGATATGTCGAACGATATAAGAATTGCACGAAAACAAGAGACAAAATATTACTCCTTTGTAATATTTATAGCTGACTGGTGCGGAAGAATATAATAAGTCTATTCTTTAGTAATAGTGGTACAAAAAGCATGAGCCATGTTTTTGCGAGCTTTTCAACTGTATGTACTGATTCCATTTTCAACGTCTACAGTACTACTAACAGAGCCACATGATAAGAAAATTATATGCTAAATAGCATGGAGCGAGGATAATAATTTCTCTAACTACATGGTACTATTCTTACGCCGACATGAAATCAATACAGTTCTACTGAAAGCATTCCAGGCAGTTAAATTTACTTTATTAGGACCTCATGCAGTACAAAAAGGAGCCAAACAACTATGAAAGTAAGGTTTGATAGAATTTAAAGATCATATTGATAACAGCTAATACTTAGCTTCCGTATCTTAAATCGGTATATTTTGCTGTCATTAAACCCTGTACGTAAAGTGAAATCAAGAAACATTATTTTGGATGAAGTCAGGTTGTAGAGAACATATTGATACAAGTAAGACGACTACTGTTAGAGAATGTGGATTTTCAGTGACAAAGTTTGTATGCTCAGTTAAACAAATTTTTCGTTTACATACATTAGACACTACATGATGTTAGTTACAATATATCGAATGTAAAACTGTGCTACAAAGCTGAAGTTAATAAAAAAATTTAAAAACTTGAACTCACTCTCAATCGCTTAACTCTGTTTAAGCGACATAATTCTTCTAAATCCCTTTGTAATTTTCCCTGACGTAAACGTTCTGCTTCTAGTGATTTTTCAACAATGGCATGAGCAATAACTTCTAAAAAAGCACGTTTTAGATTTTCATGAATTTTTATTTCTTTATATTCTGATTCCGGTATGACTTCACCATTCTCTGTAATCTAAAAGCATAATACTAACAACATAAGGGATTCGCAGTGTATAAAATGCGAAACCGGTTGTTATTAAAAATCAAAAAACACACTTTCAGTAATCTATAATTAACAAATCAACTTCTGACAAAAAGTCACTGATTAATTGTGATGTTTAAATAAATCAATGACTTGTTTGTATTGATGACTGTTGCAATTTTGAATCCCAAATACAATACATTCAGTTGTGCTTCTCTTGTACTTCTTGATTAAATTGCGTTATTCCTAGGATTACTAGTTTATACTACAAATCAAATACTTCTGATCACCATATTGGCGTCGCGACTGAGCCTGTGATGGATCGGTTGGATATAAATTCAGATTTTAATGCTTTTGAGGAGTACATGGAGAGGTTCGAAATCTGGGCTATGACCAAGGAATATGATGAGGATTTTAATATTGTGGCCCATTTCCTTACATTCATCAGAAAAGAAGCATACAGCCTTATAAAGACTTTGGCACTTCCAGACAAACCGATTTCACTCCCCTATGAAACTCTCAAGCAACTACTGTTGGATCGTGTAAAGTATATAAATTCTGAATGCGGTAAGAGAGAAAAATCTGATAAAATGACTCGACAGAACATCAGGAATCCCACTACGTTACCAAGTCGTCGCAGTTCGATGCGTAATAAAAGTTATCCAGACAATACTTCATTGAGCTTTAAACAGTCCATGGAGATGAGCACGAGATTAGTAAATGCTTGTTCTGTGGCAAGTTTTACCCATGTAATTCATGTATATTTCGTAATTCTAAATGTTTTAAATGTGGTATAACTGGACATATTCAGTCACTTTGTAATACCATGGTTCATTCGCTGAAACTAACGCTAAGATGGATGTTTCTAATGATCATTTATCTTTATCTAGAAGTGGTATAACGTCACATAACAGTTCAGAGTTGAATAAAACCCAGAATCATTGTGCGACAAAAATTTTTAGTCAACAAACTTATCAAATTTCCCATGTCATTGTACCAGATATGGTTTGTCGTAATAATTCACATACTTCTGATGGAATTTCTTACAACTCTGAGAATAGAATGTTGAATGAGCCAAATCATGATCAAAAACCAAATTCAGTTTTGGTAGATGCTGAATTCTCTGATGATCCATTATTCTTTAATGAAACTCTTAATCAATTTGAGGAAAATATTTCAGAAGAATCGAATTATGATATCATATCAAGTGTCAGTGGTCCTCAGAATCAATTTATCTCTAATGATATTCCTAATGAATGTGAAAAATATGTTCCGAATGAGTCGAATTGTAGTCATATTTCTGATGTTATTGTATCAGATGTTGGATACTCTCACGAACAATGTATGTTGAATAGAATCCCTAGTCAGGGGTATAATGAATCAGAGGGGATTGCAAAATTTACCGAAATAATCAGAGAACCAGCTTGCCCAGAAGTGAAGTTTGCACAGACAGAGAATCCAAATCAAGTCCAAGATTATCCTAATGAATATTAGGCAGATGAATGTTTTCTATTCGATTGTTTCGCAGGTAAATCAAGCCTAGTTGAATCACATGTGTTAATTACATATATCAATGCATATCTATCTGTGTATTCTAATATGAATAACAAAAAGAATATGTATCATGATTTTTATTCAAGTCAAAGTCACATGATGGAATACCTCGAATTATATATCAGTGTTTATCCCCAAATACTCATATACAGTAGTCGATGCGTGAGGTTTGAGAAGATAATGCAAATTGGGAACGCTATATTGGCTAAAACATTGCGACGTAAGGACCCAACATTATTTCGTGGGGGAGGATATTGTTGTAAAGTCTATGATGCAAATTCTAAATATCAATGGTTTCACTACACAACCGACATGCTGATTGTATACAATTCCAGAACCCAGGTTAGTCTGTTCCAATTTCCGTTGTTAATTCTAATACTAATGAGTGCATTTTAGATAATACAGAGTGTACATCCAATACATCATCGGACACATGTAAGATGAACTTAAGAAGAAGACGAACAATCAATTACAGACACTTACACTCCAATTCGAGCTGTGGCGGATGTGATGTTTAAATAAATCAATGACTTGTTTGTATTGATGACTGTTGCAATTTTGAATCCCAAATACAATACATTCAGTTGTGCTTCTCTTGCACTTCTTGATTAAATTGCGTTATTCCTAGGATTACTAGTTTATACTACAAATCAAATACTTCTGATCACCATATTAATCCAGATTATGGTGAAAAATTTATCAAAAATATTTATTTAGCCTTGAAGAACGTCAACACATGAAGGTCACATTTTTAACCACGCTAAATCACTGTGAAAATCGCTCGAGAAGGCATTGATAGTAAAGACTGTTTAAACCAGATAGTTATATCTTTTTTGTAGAGGAAGTGAATTGTGGTTAGCGGTGGAATTCAGGATGCTAGTTTTGCAATATTTAAGTCGTATTTAAATCTTAGATTCTATGTTGACTCGGGGATTCAATTACAGTATCCTTTGCTTTAAACGCTGAACACGTTCTACACAGAATTAGTGAGCTTAAATAGTCACTTACTTTTGCATCGGGTACAAATCCAAATCGATCTGTAAGTCTTCTTCAGTTTTCCCGTTTTTGATTTTCTTGAATAAATTCTGATCAGTCTTAGTTGAAATATGTGCATATTATGCAGCCTTATAGAATATAACTGATGCAAAAGCAAGCGGCAAAATGGACTCGGTAGTTAGGTCGATAGTACGTTTAAAGTTTGAAGAGAAATGTACTAGATTTTAATTCCAGAACAAACATTAACTCTGGGATTTAGGTACATCTCAAATATTGCGAAACGCGTTTTCTTGGTTCTGTAAGGTCAGTGAAATGTCACTGAATATCGAACAGATCGTCGATCCCTGTCAAGGTCAAGGATAGTCAACGCGCATCAATCAATATACGCCATGGACTGGCTCACGCGGCAGTGGCTGTTCTTTCACTTCTGCACCTTCGTGTTTGTACCTTAACTAATATATTCTTGTAATAACGTCCTTTGTGTTGTACAGTCTCCATAGCGTCCATGATCCTTTGATGCGTCGATGGTTCAATCCACGTAAGGGCTGGTCGCGAGGTGTGACTTCAGCGTTAGTTGGTTGGTCACCATTCTCGTCTAACTATAGTAGGCCCCTAATCATTTCGACATAGAACATCAACGTGGATGATCTTACAGTTCCACTGCTAGCCACCATTCATCTCTCATATAACATGTGACGAAGCGGCTACGTTAGGGAAACCCGCACATTATGAAAATATTTCAACTAAGGCTAACCAAAATTCAGTCAAGAATAATAATAACAGGATAAATCAGAAACATTCACAAATTAAATAGATATGTATTAGATTTTAATAAACTCAAGGGCAGTTGCCTTTATTTTGACTTGGAGAAAAAGCCGCTCAATGATGTGAAGAAATTGTTGAAAAATTACGTTTAATTTCTATACGATTTCGCAAGTGCATCCTTTTGCAATATAAGAATCAGCTATCATTGTATAATATCCATTCAAGTTAGTAACTGAATTTAAGTCAATCAGTTACCAAAGTTTGGAAATCAACTATTTGTTACAAATAAATATGGCGTGTGAGAAACATTTCAAAAGTGTAACTATCATTTACACGAAGAAATATTAGCATGCTGGGTTACTTAAGAATTTTAAAGTTACTATGTCGGATTTATAAAATTTTATTGGCTTTTAACAGCTTATCTCTAGGGTCAGATTTCCTAAACTGTGTAAAAATCTACAAGCAATGATAAAACAACTCAATTATCTATATAATAACGGAATACAAAAGTGGGTAACTGAAACAGAAAAACTTGAGTTACTTAAATAACTTAGGTCACACGAACACAATTTATGAGAGTCTACTTTATAACAGATTTGTGTCGAAAAGTTCGTCACGTTGCACTTAAGAAAACTGGTATTGTGCAAACTTACTAGTCCATTATTTATAAGATGCCGTCTCATCCGAGATGTAGAAAAATAGTTTATTAAATGTTTGTCCGTGAGGCTATTATATGCCTCCAAAAAGCTGCAAAGTAATTAAAATGTGGATTAAATATTTTGAAATCGAATCTAATAGTCAAAGTTTTACTATAAAGTTGACAAACCTGGCGTTACTCTTTAAAGGCATTTCATTTCTCTTTAAAAGTTTTCAAAGCCGTCGTCAAGGGGAAAAATAAAGTTCGACAGTGCATTAAAACGTTTATTCAACGCTCAATTTATCAGTCTCAGTTTGAGAAAGGAAGGAACCTGAATGGCCTTTATTAATCCTGACAAAAGTTATCATTCACATAATTCATTTCTCTTTTCAAAATCATCCACACATAGGGTTTTCATCACATGTTGAAGTGATGAATTCCGTTTGCTAACGATTCGATCGGAAAGTCGATTGACTTTTGGTGATTGACAATGGGATACAGATAGATTAAAACGTATACTTGAGAGGTTCGTGGTGAATTTTGCTAGTTTCTTTATTAACATATAATGCATTTCATTAGATCCTATGGATTTGCCAATATATAACTTATTTAGCGGACAGAAAACATCAAGCTCTTTAGTGTTCAGTTGCCTAGATTGTGTGTTGAGGTTTGTATGAACTGAAAGGTAGGGTTTCTTCACGACATATACGTTGCTAAGATAATTTGATAATACTTGAGCTCCACCAATGATGAAGTACCACCGTCTCTCAATAATATTGAAATATGTCCTCTTCTCTTAGTCTTTTGGTTTACGTTTTCAGGTATTCCGTAGACTACATTATGAGCCTTTCTACATTCAACCTTCCAGATATGCGTGTGGTGGTTGGTATTCGATATTATCCTTCAACTTCGCATATTGTTCGTTCTGATAACCGTTACTAGATAATGCCCCAACGGTGTATAAATCAGAAGGCAAATACGAAGTATTGATTACGTTTATTATTAAACCACGCACAGATATCCAAAATTACGGGCAAGTTAAGCAAGTATGAAAGAGTAGTGCCGAAAAGGAAGCGAGTGGGCGTGCGAGTCGAATGAGCAAGCAAGTAATCGATTAAAGTGATCGAATGTGCAAGCCTGTAAGTCAGTGACGGAGATCAAAATGTACATATATATACAAGGTGAAATGAATGAACCATCGAATCAATTAAACGACTAATAGTAAGGCTAGCAAAATGAATATATGCGTAGGTAGTAAACAATGCTGAAGCATACATATTCATGCAAGTGCAACAATAATAAAGGTACAGCAATATAGATGGGTTGTTATTGTACGAATGACTCTGTCCGTTAAATAAGCTAACAAAAGGGCTTAACCAAATTGGATACGAACAAACTCAGTTGAACGTGAGCTGCTATATGTGGAAGGTCGAATCACAATTATTTCAAGCTTCTAGATATTGAGACTTTTACCCGTCAATACACAGTAACCTAAATATCTCCTAAATTGTTCTCCTCTTACGCAAAAGGATGCAAACCTCTTTACAAAACCACGGTGGGGAGTTTCTCGGACTCTTAAGGCTGAAATCATTAAGGACGTATGTTTCGGATCCAATCAGTTTGCATGAGTTTATCAGTATCAGGTTTCTTTCTTCAGGGGAAGCAAAGGTAACCTTTAAGAAGACGTTTTTCTGAGTACTTTCAGAATCCGCTGTTTGTCTTATTCTATAAGGCTTACAGATGCTGACCCCTGAAACTCTTCTTGGGAGTAGCCTACTTATTAATGACTTATGTGGCTGAGGTCGTACTCAAATCTAGTCCTTGGTTCCTTTTTTGATGATTCTCTTGACTTACGAAAAACTACTGATCCGTCAACGAGGTCTACCTTAAGACGCTGTGGAATTTTACTCCTGAAATTTTCTCCTGACTGAAATCCGATTCGGCGTCAAACACAAAAAACGGGGTTTTGTGTATCACTGTACTTAACGACAATAAGAAGATTAGACTTCAGTAGGTACGAAAATATCTTAACAACTCTGGATATATTCAGCCAGGGAAAAACACCCATGCCTTTTTTGTATATGTGCTTAAAAATACAGATGTTTAATCTCTCTAGAATAAAGCAATACTCTTGGAGATTTCTCCAATGAAACTAAATTTAAATAAAGCAAAAACAGTAGTCTTGCTGCGTAATTAAAATCCCAATACTAAAAGGTATACTAAGGAGAAAATGTCACTATCCTTTTAAGCACAGTATTCTAAATACACCCTAAACCGTTTCTATTGGGGACTCTGCCTCTGTTGTCCAATTTACTGAGGATGCTGAGTACATGATATCTTCTATGTTTGCTTTCAACGTGCCCGCTTTTGACAACCATATGGAAATCAAAGATTAGAACTGCATGATCACTTTTACCTAGGTGTGTCATGTAATCGGGGTTTGTGACATCATCCTCATAAACGGTCAGCATAAGATCTAGTAAGGATGATTCGAAGTTCGGTTTCTACCTAGTTGCTTCTTTCACATGTTACATTAGGGCACATGTGATAACCGCGTCAACTAGTTTCTGTTCGAAGGAATTTCATGACAATTTGGTCCTCACATGATATGGGATTAAAAATTAAGATTACATTATTTTACTCGTTGTGATTTTCGTTGAAGACACGATATTTTTGTGTTAAAGTAACATGAGCTATGCTCAGCATGACACTCAGCATATGATATGCTACAACTCCAAGTAATTTCCATATACATGGTTTTATCTTAATTAGTAAGCAGAATGGGTGTACAATATATATGTAAATGAGTGTATTTTCGACAATGGTCGTTGTTGTGTTCGGAGGTTAGAAATCACTACTTGTACCAACCTTAGTGTTCTTTATTTCGCGTTGTGGGATAAGCTTTTGACGAAAGAAGTCAGGTTGTCAATCTTGTTCGACAAATCACTGATTGCTTTCAGTATCATTTTGCTGTCATTATTATGCTGCCATTTGCAAGAGATGACTAGAACTTGCTTTTTCTCTTTGTCGTGAACCAACATGTACTGTCCTGACTGATGCTAAAAATCAATGCCATAGCGTTAGAAATTATAAGTTTATTGCATTCATGAACTCATTATCATTTGTAATGACTTCAGAACATTCATAAAAGTTCTCTGTGAACGGGACCAAAACAGTAACCAACAGACATACCTACTACACCAAACTATTATCTACAATTTGTTAATAATGAAACATAGACTGTACCGTTTGCTGTACTCTGTGCACACTGAACGTAACTACACGAGGCAGTGGCTGACCCTAAGACAATACTGCTACACCGATCTGTAGCTACGACGCTACTACTTCAACACCAACTTAACTATAGTCCTCATTGTTAATGGTCGTTAGCTGATACTTTCTCTCAAAATCAGATCTTAACTTCCCTAAGTTTCTGTAAAAGGTCGATTTAGAGCAGCTCATCAAGTTTGGCTCCCTATTTGCTGTAAGCCGTCTTTTACCCCATTCGTGACTTTCTACATTATTAGTCTAAAGGAAACAACTGGCTGTAGTGAGACTGAACGGCAGCATTATTCAAAGTTGTGGACTGTACAAACAACTCACCAGCATGGCGTGAGATTTTTGAAAATGTAATGTGAAGCCGACTATTCTTTGTTGCGTGTGCTTGACATACTAAAACAAAACCTGAATATCGGTAATTTAATGCTGACTAAAGTTCATGATAACATTACAAGTTACTTTTAATTGTAATTTCATCTTGGAAGTTTTAAAAATAACACTGGTTATTAACTGTTTTCCCGGAAAATTGCGCAACACGTATTTTTGGGTTCATCTCAGAAATTTCGCCAGACTTTGGGTATTTCCTCAAAATAAGGGGATTTGGTTTATGTACTTCTTTCAAAGAGGTCTCAAAATTGTCCTGACTTGTAAATCATCGCAACATTATAATATCACTGAAGATTCGTCCTATATCACTCATCATTACGATGACGCCACTTTCGTTACTTGAAGGATGGACATTGTCACATATAGTGTAGTTGAACTCAAATCAAATTTTAAAATGTCTTGATCCGACTGCTCCTGAAAAGCCTTCCGAATTGTCGAGGTGACGCACCAATCGTTTCGCTACATTTTGACCTTCAAGCGCTCAGTAGCCTCCGACAGCGGACGATACGACTGAAGCGTTGCTTATCGGGTTGAACTATTAGCCTCTAGTTTCTGTCTCAAGATCGTTTTAATCTGAAGCTTGTATTGCTGGTGATTGTTGTATATTACTTACCGTAGTAAATGTAAGTGTGTTGTGTGTTTTCTGGGTCGTCGACTCAACTTTTCGCTTGCTCTTTCACAGATTTCCTGACGTTATTTTGCATGCTCTCCTACTACACAAAGTAACTTATTATTAGACACAAACTTCTGTACGACTTTTCAGTTTAACGTCAGGAATTCGGTCACGGAAGCCCACCCTCATGTGCATTAATTAGAACAATGATTTTCTGTTTCTTTTTCGCTAGCCTTTGTGAGACCAATAATAATTTTATAAACAGCTTCATGCATCTTGTCATTCACTTCGTCACTGCCTGTGGGTATTACTTTCAAACAAGGTGAAGGTATTAATTTCGAAAAATTTAGCCTCACTAGAGAAAAGAGAATTCTCACTATTTCTCCTAATTTTTACGTTTGATCATCGTTGTTTCTAAAGGATTGCTGACACTCAGTAGCACCACCATCTTAGAAATCTGGATGTGCAGCAACGTGTGTTCGGTACGGTGGTGATAATTCGATAGCTGTCATTACAAATACCGTCCCAGAGAATCCCTACATCGTATATTATGTGTTGACGCTGGGACTGGTTGAAAAAATCGGAGAGGTAGTCAGTACACTACATTGTGTCGTGGTATGATCGAAAGCTATGTGGGACTGACTTCTGTTGGCTCTTCACAACTCCCTGGTTGGGGTCCTGGAATTAATGCAACGCAGTGGCTTAAGGTGTTATCAGAAATAGCTTAGAGTGGAAGCCAGGAGTGATCCTGTTGCAACTTTGATTTTATTTAAAAGTGGGAGTAACTTTTTGACTGGAAGGACCTCTTTTTGGTTGTGTTTTTCATAACTGATCTGCTTCTTCCACTTTTTTTATACCCTCAACTGTTTTTATTCATCGTCTTTATATCCACATTACTTTCTCTATCTTTTTACAGTCTCAATTTTCTTACTGTATGGCGCATAAATTCTCTGGTACCCCTTTGTACCAATTCTTATATGCTTAAATAAATAAGGGATTTTCAGCTATGGTTCGCAAAATATCCACGGTCTGTGATTAAAACATATTAATTGCATTCCTCATGATTAATAGCATTTATAAAGATGCACACACTTCAACTTTTTATTTTGAGCATAATATTACACTATACTTTTTATTTTCCAGTTTTGCTTCACATTTCCAGAAAGCGCTATTCATAGAGGTCATTCTGGAGCGCGCTTCATTATGAATCAATTCTCGATATTTCTTGCGAAACACTCACAAAAATTGGCACTCTTATGCGCGGCCACAGCATGTTCACTATCTTATTATGTCCAGCCATATTATGAAGTTCTTTGTCGTTGGTCTGTCACACAATTCGATATAGAGTGGGAAGCAAAGCCATCCGAACGAATTTTACGAATAACAAAAGAAGTAAGTCTAGTTAACTTTCTTTACTTATCTATTTAGGTTTGTTCTCACTTCAATATGACCGATTATCAGAAATCGCAGTTAGATATATTTCTTACGCCTATAGATGAGTCGCTAGTCTTAGGTTCTTTACGATCGCCCGGTTATGCATTTATTGGATTGCCTTACTTTTTTGGATATGAAAGTTCCACTGAAATATCCTTAGATTCACTAGACTTCTATCGGTAAGTTTAATAGTAAGACTAATTTAAAGGCATATCATAGTTAGCCAATTTTTTGATCGATTTGATCAGTTTGATTTATAAACTAGAATCATGTAAAGAACGACTGAAAGTCAAGAAATAAGTAAATGTTTTTCTATGTTGATAACTCCTCTCTCTCGTAACTACTGTCAACTCAGTTTACCGGTAAATGTTTTATTGTAGACTAGTTTCTTCGACCATGTGCATTTCTGTAACCTGCTAAACATAAGAAAATCGCAACTAGAAAGTCTCTTTAACTTCTGTTTGGAAATTAAAAAAATATCTACTATCAATAAATGAAGAGACCAGCTAGACCTTCAATGAAGCATAACGAAGGTTCCTCTACAGAAATAGCCTTGTGTAATCTTTCTTTTACTACAAAAAGTAGCAAAGACTAAATTTTCAGGGAATCAGAAAAGCCTAATAAGGTGTCAAAACAACCATAAATGAATCCAACCTTTATTTTAGGCTACTAAGACATCGCAATAATCATAAGCAGTTGTAAGAAAAGATAAAGCATATACACCAGAGGATGACTGTAACAAACAATAATAGGTAACTTTTTGATTGGGCTAATAAACTGGCAGTTAACGGAGATGTCGTGTGAAAAATGTTAATGTTGCTTTTCAGGTATCTTAACAACTCAACGACCAGTTACTGATTGGTTGAAAAATGAGTGCCCTTACCACTTAACTACCATTGTGAACAAAAGTGGAAAGTGATTGATTCTCAGAGTAGATAATTGAGACAACAAAATAAACCTTTCTACACTTTTCTAATTGCCTATCGGTTGTACACTTTAATAGCCGTCCTATTGGTTGTAAATAGCATAAAAGAGATCAACATAGCTTTTGTTAATCTAATCTATATTTGCCAGCTAAACTGGTTGAGGTATTAGTTAAAATATAGGGGTTGAACTTGATTTCATCTGACTAATCATTTCACTTTATAAAAACTAGAAAAGATCCTTTCATCATAACCAATTAAAAGTCGATTTAATTCGCATCATCTACAACGTCTTAGGTTTGATAAACATCTTAAAAAAATACCCATTGATGCTACTATCCATTCGATTTGTTACTTGTCATGAAGTTTTTCCACTTCTGCCTCCACGTAAGATTGTTGTTCCTTCGTTCGACTACTGTGCTAAGATTTTGTATCTAAACATAGTGGCTAATACTCTTGACTATAGTAAAAAGCAAAGTAGTTGTAGATGTTAATCATTTACTTTACTTGTCTAAGAAGTCTCATCAACATTGGTGTGTTCATTGCCAAATGAAATTCCAATACAGAGACTAAAGGTTCGTTTTTTTTCTGGTTTTCGACGGTCTACTCTACTTATGGCTCAGACAAGGTGTTTAAAGCAAACACATTGCACAACATTTCGTTTTCTGGATCATTCGACTTGTGTAAAACATAACTACTGAAAGTAAAGGAAAACAAATAACTCATCATCTAGTATCTCCTTCCAAACGTTTTCCGTATATGATAAAATCATAGACTAAATGAAGTAAATGTTGGGCATGCAAAGTAAATCAGTTGATAAGACTGTAGGCCATGTCAATTGGTATATATATGTCCAATTCCTGTCTACCTTGATACGTTAGAGTAGGTTTATGTCGTAAATTGACTGTTAACGATCAGGTTAATACATGACATCACCCTAATAATTCAACTAACCGTTAATCTAAGCTATACAGGAAGTTCCAAGCTTTTTGGTTGGGGAGAGAGGCCATATGATATAACATGAAATCAATCTCTCGGTCGCTTAGATACATGCAAATCAATGTGTTGTGAACTTTAGCATCTCAGCCTCTATCTCAGTCCATTGGTCTACTTATTTCTTTACGGTGAATCAATTGAAGACTAAACAACAATTCAAGGTTTACACCTTTCCATTGACCGATTTTAAACCTAGACTTTTTCCCAAGTCTTCTCATAGTGTTGTACTTTGCAACGCTGAGTTTTATAACAATAATAATAATAACGATAATAATAGGCTTTATTTCAGTTACTGCTATAACTTGTGTCCATCTAGATGCCCTGTTAATGTATCACGTGATAATATCGCCAATTAGAGAGCATTGAATTATCGATTGGACCAATGACACACGAAACCCGTACGAGCAGTCTAGAGCACTTGTCGGTCCTGCTTTCTTCCTAGCCCAGTCAGTTAAGTCCAGAACACCAATAACTGCCTCTATAATATGAATCATTTATTCCAAACATACTGAGTTTATATACCAATCAAACTGACCACATCGTACCACAAAATAGAAAATAACATTTGTACAAGACTCAGCCAAATGTGGCTGTGAATAAGGAGAACAGTAAATAATAGACTGGGTATAATTCAAGAACAGTAAGTCACATAATAGTTCATAGGTCAAAATAAAGCTCATAATGAGAGAGACATGAATATGACTAGTTTGGTTAGTTAACAATTATACAATAGGAAATATACATATCATATTGGTCCATAAGTAGTTCTCAAAAGTTGCCATTCATAATTCTTATGGAGACATAACAGTTATGTATCATTATTATCATTATTTTTACTTAGACCATACTTTCCTTATGGACCTTTTTCGAAAATTGGCAAAGACCGTCTAGATCTTATGAATTTACCTGAATCCGCTTTGAAGTTCCTTATAGCGCGTGAAATTGTTCGACTTCAAGGAGTTACAGTAGTAGATCAAAAGTTACCTTTATCGGCTCGTAGTCAATCACTGCTCACTTCAAATTCAATCATTGGCAGTCTTTACTTATCATACCAAGTGAGTTTATTGTCTTTTGATTAATATTAGTTTAGAAGGGGTTTTGTGGAGAATTTAGTATTTTCATAGTTGAAATCATGAGTCAATTGAAGCTAGATCACCATGGAAAACCTGGAAGCACTAGACGGCCGTTTCGTCCTATTGTGGGACTCCTCAGCAGTGCACAACCACGATCCCTCACTAGTGACTTACTTCAAGAAATATTTCATTCAGTTCTAGTGGGAAGCAGTGACCAGTGGAGTTCAACCAAGTCTGTTGTAAAGATATCAACCCACTGAAGACAATTGGTGAACGGTTGCTCAAGAAATCATACATTGGTTGAAGTTAGACACTAACACCGTTGGATGCTGGCTCAGTGGTCTATCGGTTAGGTGCTATGGCGCGAGACTGGTAAGTCCTGGGTTCGAATCTCGCGAGGCGGAATCGTGGATGCACACTGCTGAGAAAGTCCCACAATAGGACGAGACGGCTTTCCAGTGATTCCAGGTTTTCCATGGTGGTCTAGCTTCAATTGACTCATGATATTTCTTATTTCTCTATGTTGTCGCAACATTACGGCATCTTTTGTCTTTCAAACAGGGTTTTCACTAAGCCTAATTTATAAGTCATTGTGTTACTATTTTTGTAATTGAGGATTTCATCATTTTAGGTCTCAAGATTTTCCATATTGTTTTGATGATGAACACATCCGAAACTACTATATTGCCGTTTCCAATGTGAATTTTATATTGTCTAATATTCCTGTTCATCAAATTGTAAGTACTTTCCTGTCGATCCTTTTTAATGATGACATATATGTTGTCTACATAGCAGATCCCAAATTTTCGCCTGACCATGAAGGAGACTTAAGTTTCCTGTCTCTCCATTATTACTTTTGAAATTAATTCAGTCATCGATGATCTCATCTTTATTATCTGTTACAATATGTCCCATTGTGTAAGAAGCATAATATAGAGAAAATGTACTTCTGAAAGGATGTACATTTATTTTATTGATATCCAGTAGTCTATCAAATCTACCCTTATAATAGCAATTAAAAATTGAAAGATTTTCAATATTCTTTGAACAAATAGCTCAGGTGGGTGATTTTGATGGAGTTTTGTTCTGTGAGCTGGATGGTTTGGTCGTGGAGCTTTCATCGTCCTTCTGAACGACATCATCAGCACAAGCTTCGGGTAGAAGTGAAGTGTTCGAATTTCTCCACATGTGATTCACACCTTGTCCTGTGTACCTCGATGTTGATTGTTTCTTGTTGACAGTATGATCTTTTTGCTTAAATTTTTTCCGATTATTCCACCCAGAGAAAAATTAAATTTTTATTGGTAGCTTGGTTTTATCATCGTCTCAGTCTGTGGATCGTTAAGATCGTACCTCGATAGCCGCTTGCGTTCGAGTCCTATCACAATCTATGTTTCAAAAAAATTTAACTTCATCGCCGCCCAATTGATGACGTTTTAAACTGTCCGTTTGTTTTAAATTAATCTTCCTATCGTTTTCTTCCCCTATTATTTGTCAAATTCTCTTGTTCTTGTCTTCCATGTAATTTTCAATCTACACAGACGATATTTCTTCTCAACAGAACCATCACATTACCTCTACGTGTATCGATCGCTTCAAGAACATTAATCTACACTTTTATATCTTTGTTCGGACTGTTTTTTCAACATCAAATGATATTAGCTTGGCGTAGATATTGTTGTTTGCGAGCTGATCAAATTGTTTGCAGTCTAGGTGAATCATTTAGACAAGGTGGTCTTCAATATTATGACTGGCGTATACGATGGAATAAGTTTTGGGCTGAACGACAAGAAGAATTCAAAGAAAGAAAACGCTTAATTAAAAAAAGCAATCATAATGGAGCAGCGAGGTATGATCCTGTTATGAAATATCAATTGGAAATTGAGAAATCTGCAGGGAAGAATACTACTGAAACTGGTATGCTCAAGTTAAATTTTTAAGTTTATCCGACTTCTCATTGATACAGATTCCTTTTATCGAAGTTGAAAAGGTTATGTCTAATTTACAACTAGTGGAACAGCTCGCCTTGATGGATTATTTTTAGAGGTCTTCAGGAACCATGGCTCATTTCCAGGAGTTTAACTGGTTGAGATAATAGCTACAGTTTGTGAGGTGAATGTAGTTTTGCCAATCTGTTAATAAATACTGGTCGTTTCAGGTCATAAAAAAAACAGGAATCCTCTTTTCATAACCACGGGAGAATCAGTCTGATTGGCATGATGTCTACAATATTGAGATTTGTAATCATTTGACGCCTGACTGTATCTTATAAAGAACAAAGTCATGAATATCAGGCTATTTCCAGACCTAATCATGAGTGTGTAGATCAAATATTCACCCTTCGTCAGGTTTTGTAACGTAGGCTTACTGACACCTAATTGCAACTGTATTTCTTGACCTTATGAGTACTCCTACTGAAAGGTCCCACTAAAGGAGTACATAAACCTTTTGAAAGTTTATTTTCTCAAACACTATTAATCGAGCTATACTGACATCTTAATCGCTCAATACGTTCCGTTCCTCACTTAGATCAGCCGTTAAAAGAGACATTGAGTAATAGGGTATAAATTTAGTCACAATGTCTCAATCGGTTATTTTCTTCTACATCCTCTAAAACTCAAGTTTAGTTTCGTATAATTTCCATCTTCCCATTCTTCAATCTCCGTTTTCCTCTTTTAGACTGTATTTTTCACGTTCCAATTTCTATTGTGTCTTCTATATTATTTCCTACCATTATGCTTTTCAGCCTATTAATTCCTTCGCTGACTTTGCTAACGTAAGATGTAACAAATTTAAGTGATATTTACTCGTAAAAGATCTAACACAAGTAACTAACTGACTTGTATCATCATTAATTAATTTTAGCACTTAATCGATTTAAGTTACAGATCGAAATACGGCCACGTGTTACGTATGCCTGAACACCGATTACCACGACGTGCTATGCTAGCTAGTGTTGGGGATAGTTGGAAGAGAGTTAGAGGCGGCCAAACCAAAACGTGACATCAGAGCATGAAGTCACTAACTTCTAGTCTGAGCCATGTTGGCATATGCAGACTACTTGGTTGAGGTCCGTGTGACTATCGTAACCAATGGTTGGAGGCTCTAGGTGACATGGCTCAGAATCGATCACAATGGTGTAAGTGTATGCACTTTCTGTCTTCCCTTAAACTTTGAGATTAAAATTGCTTCATAACTTTCTTCCTTCCCATTTATTTATCTAAACACATAAATATTTGTACAAAGGGGGTACCAGATATATATGCGCCACACAAATCTCATTTGATTTGTGTGAGAGCTTTGATACTGCCCGGGTGTCCAAAATGAAGCAGGTGGTTTTCTTAGAAGGCTACACCCGGAGTCTTTGACCTGAAGGTCTGATCCACAAGGCAGTGGAGCATTGTGAGGAAATGCAGTCAATGGTAGCTGGTGACCAACGATTCATTCATACGCCATTTGTTCCATCAGGATACTGGAGCCAGCCCATGTGCACCATTGGTTTGGAATCAGGGTTTTCCAACTTCCCTAGGTGAACTTTCCGTGTCCACCACCCCGTTTAAAGCATCGGATATTCACTTTTCATCCTCTCAATTTCGTAAACAGCACCCTGTTTGTGAGAAGGCAATGAGTAGGACTTCCCTGGTAAATTAACTACTTCTATGAATTCGGTGTTCATTTTGTTATGCTAATGAGGTATGGCAACTTGAACCGATGTATATATGTGCCTGTTTCTATATTGTAGCTGACTGACTGACTTATTTTCATGTTAACATTACTAATATTACTACACTAGATAATTGGTTTCTATTTTTCATTAGATTATTATCTTCCTAAATCTGAAGATATTCCACTTGATTTATCAATAATAAAACAACAACTTTTAAATGATAAAAATCGCGCAAATATAAATTATCTTCAAAGAAATCGTTTCAATAATTCTGGTAATGAATTATGGTCTGGTGATGGTGATGGTATTAATTTAGGATGGACTGGTATATTATCTATTGGTATAATACCAAAAATAATCTCTTCATTATTTAATTTATTCTCTACACCAGCAACTAGTTCACAACGTTATCATCAATTAAATGAATTAGAAGTGAAAACAATCAATTAACTTTGTTGTCTCTACTTTCTTATTGCAAATTGAATACATGTAAATAGTTTATGAATAAAGTGTAGTTCTTTTTTTGTCGGTACTAACTGCTTTATTTTTTTTCTGTATCATGAAGTAGAAAATGTAGGTAAGAGTATGTTCAATAGTGTAAAGGTTCATGTCTAGCCTAAAGGTACTTTTGGTGCTAAACGGGGGGGGGGAGGCGGAGCCATTTGTATGAAAAGCTAGCACAAAGAAGAACAACATATCCTTCTTACTCAGTTGCTTACTTATTTACTTATACCTGTTTTTTCCAATGGAGCATAAGCCGCTGACTAGCATTCTTCAACCCAGTCTGTCCTGGACCTTCTCTATTTCTTTCCAACTTTTGTTCATTCTTCTCATATCTGTCTCCATTTATCGACGTAATGTGATCTTTGATCTTCCTCTTCTACTTTTTATTTATTTATTTATTTAAACACATAAATATTGGTACAAGGAAGCACCAGTTACACATGCGCCACACAAATCTCATTCAATTTGTGTGAGGGCTGTGATACTGCCCAGGTGCCCAGACTGAAGCGGATGGGTTTTTTAGGGGGCCACACCCAGAGCCTTTGACCTAAAGATCTGATCCACAAGGCAGTGGAGCATCTTAAGGAGATGCAACCACATGGTAGCCGGTCACCAACGATTGATTCACACGCCATTTGTTCCCTCAGGATCCTGGAGTTAGCCCATGTGGACCATTGGTTTGGAATTAGGGTTTTCCAACTCCCGTAGGTGGACCCTCCATGACCACCAACCCGGTTAAAGCGCCGGACATTCGCTTTAAATCCTCTCAGTTTCGTAAACAGCACCCTGTTTGTGAGAAGGCAGTGAGTAGGAATTCCCTGACAGGCTATATATTCGCTGGCTATATGAGAGCATTTGGAGAGGGAGATCGGACTCTCCCCACTTTCGGCCGTACCAGGGCATTTGGGGGCGATGAGCATTGGTTGCATCTTCACGATGCCATGAAAATGGCGAGTAAAGCCGCTTGCGGCTTCGCAAAACGTCCCGCTTACAAGCACTGGGTTTCTTCTGGCTCTTTACAACTGATGGAAGCCCGTCGGTCTACTCCGGGTGACCGTGAGTTTGACCACAAACGAAGGCTGTTACGTAGTGAAATTTGGCAAAGCTTGCGTAAGGACCAAGAAGCCCAGTGGTCGGAGCATGCTAATGAGATGGAAGCAGCAGCTGCATCTGGTAACTGCCGGAAGCTCTTCCAACTCATCCGAGCCACTGGAAGCAAGAAGTCTGATGTGAGTGAAACAATCTACGAGGATGATGGGATGCCAATCACTAACATCTCCCGACGTCTTGGACGATGGGCGGAATTCTTCGAAGGGCAGTTCAACTGGCCTGCTGCTCCGGCAACATCAACCAGCTTATCCTGCCCCCCATGCCTGGTGACGACTGATCCACCAAACGAGGCGGAAGTCCGCAAGGAACTCCAACTCTTGAAGCGCTACAAATCACCTGGCCCAGATGACTTACCTCCGGCTCTTTTTAAAGATGGTGGTGACTTTCTGGCTAAGGAACTGACGGTGTTGTTTGCAAAGGTTTGGGAACAAGAAAGTGTTCCAACATCATGGAATGAGTCAATAGTCGTCCCTATCTTTAAAAAGGGTTCACGTTGTTCCTGTAACAACTATCGGGGGATAAGTTTACTTCCGATTGCGTCCAAACTATTGGCTTCTATCATTCTTCGTAGGTTGTTTGAAACCCGAGAACGATTGACTCGCGAGGAGCAGGCTGGTTTTCGTTCTGGTCGAGGATGCATTGATCACATCTTCACCCTCCGCCAAATGTTAGAACACCGTCATACTTATCGCAGGCCAACAATCGTAGTGTTTCTTGATATCAGGGCGGCCTTCGATTCGTTGGACAGGACTGTTCTCTGGGATTGTCTATTGAAGAAGGGTGTGCCTGAGAAGTTCATTAACATCTTAAAGGCCCTGTATACGAACACCTCAGGCAGAGTGAGGGCATACAACCACCTTTCTCCCTTGTTCCATTCGAGCAGTGGGCTTAGGCAGGGTTGTCCAATCTCACCATTCCTCTTCAACTTTGCCATCGACGACATCCTGGAAACAGCTCTGATGAATGTAAGTAATGGCGGTGTGGATATGTTGCCTGGAGAACGACTTCTCGACCTTGAGTATGCGGATGATATTGTCTTACTGTGCGATAATGCCCAAGGCATGCAATCAGCACTTAATCAGTTGGCAATCAGTGTTCGCAGGTACGGCATGTGCTTTGCACCCTCCAAGTGCAAAGTACTCTTACAAGACTGGCAGGATTCTCATCCTGTACTCACCCTGGATGGTGAGGAGATCGAAGTAGTTGATAAGTTCGTGTATGTAGGTAGCTATATAAGTGCTGGTGGTGGCGTGAGTGATGAGATTGATGCACGTATAATGAAAGCCAGAGCGGCTTATGCCAATCTGGGCCATCTTTGGTGCCTTCGTGATGTTAGTCTGGCTGTAAAAGATGGGATCTTCAGTGAGTTGGTGAGAGCAGTTGTGCTCTATGCTTGTGAAACCTGGCCTCTCCGAGTTGAGGATGTTTGACGTCTCTCTGTGTTCGATCATCGTTGTCTCCGAAGGATTGCTGACATACAGTGGCAACACCGTGTTAGTAATGCAGAGGTTCGGCATCGTGTGTTCGGGCGCCGAGACTATAATTCAATTGGTGTCACCATCTTGAAACACCGACTTCGGTGGCTTGGACATGTTTTACGAATGTCGTCCCAGAGACTTCCACGTCGTGCATTATTTGCCGACTCTGGGATTGGTTGGAAAAAGCGGAGAGGAGGTCAGTGTATGACATGGTGTCATGGCATGAAAGAGAGCTGCAAAGGGCTAGCTTCTGTTTGTTCTTCACGACTCCCTGGCTGGGGTCCGAGAGATGGTGTAACACAGTGGCTAGAGACGTTATCAGATATGGCTCAGAATAGAAGCCAGTGGCGATCCTGCTGCAACCTTCTTTTACTTTCTACATAAAGAGTGGTTCTAACTTTCTTAACTGAAAGAGTCTTCTGGTTGTACATTTCAGTCCGCCTTATCTTTTCATCCCTTCTCTTCCTACTTTCATTATTTTGTGTGGCGGATATTGTATCTGGTGCCCTTTTGTACCAATATATGTATTTTAATAAATAATAAATAACCTCCAACCACCATCTTAGCATCTTGAATATTCCGAACATTATGCCCAAGTATTTCTACTCATTGTTTTATGTGATATCAGATGAAAGTTATTCATTTTCGAGTTTCACACAAAAGCCTGTATGTTTTCTCGATTCTGTTTGGAACGTCTTTATCCCTTTGATTTACCAAAACCTATAGTTTAATGCAAGTGTATTTTTACATTATTGTTTGATACTACTAATAAGTAGTTCAGTATTATCTGTTAATAAACTAGCTTTTTAGTTCGAATGTTGACTGTTATTACTTGAATGTTTCTGAAATAGATAATTTTCTTGTTTCAAACCAGTGCTAGTTTCGCTTAACTGTTAAATTATTCTCCAGCGGTAGTTAGGCTTTAACTTACATTGTCCAGCGGGATCTCCTATCGAATTTGATAACAGGACAATTATCAAGAATTTCTTTAGTTCTAACTAGTGTTGTATGGAATACACTATTGGCAATCCATTACTTCTATTATAAGATAGACAAGGTTCCCTAAATGATTTGAGTGATTATTTCTCATATTCTCTTCCCATAGTAATATTCAGTAGGGTCGAGTATCCAGTTACATTGGTTTACTTCAAAACTATTCTTTTTGTGTGTTTCTATACCTCTGAATTCTTTATGGTTGTTCCATACACGAACTTTGAACTTCTGCTGTACACAGCTGAGTAATTGTGAGCACACAAAAGTGAATCTATACCAGAATTCTCAGCATATTTATTTAAACACAAACATAAGCCCCTGATTATTAATGGATAAATATTTTAGTCTCATCTAACCATTCAGTTGATGATATAAATTTGATAACCAAATGAGTTACAAAGTAATTAGGAGGGATTATAACTGGGGATATTTAACTTGGGATGGCAAATCATTCTTTCAGAGAATCCATTCACGAAAATGAGTCTCAAGTTACGTACTTATCCCTGTTACCTCTCATGGAGGAGCATAGACCGCCCACCAGTAGTCTTCATCCAACTCTGTCTTGGACAACCCTTTCCAGTTACTATTCATTCTTCTGATTCCAATTCCCGACTCAAAGTGTTCTTAGGTCTTCCGCCTATTCGTCTCCCATCTCTTCCTAATTTCCTCTAAAGTTGGAAGTTAGTTTGTTCTCTCCCACAATAGGCTGCTGCTGATGGTATCCGACCAACGGATATCGAGTATCTTACGTAGACAATTGTTTATAAATGTTTGTACCTTTTTGATGATGGTTGTAGTAGTTCTCCATGTTTCATCTACGTACAGTAGAATTGTGTTGACTATATCTTGAAAAATCGCTCACTCATGAAAAGATCAGTTTATTCCTTGGTCTCTTAGCAAATCGTAAGTGATTTTTTGTCTGATGGTTTCCGTTACATTTATGTACAGTGATCCCGTGTTATGACTTTATAAAAAAAAAATAGGAAGACCGTATGCTAATCCGTTACTGATTTTGTGTCCGGCTTTTATCACGTGAATTATCCACCAAATCGAAATACGATTTTCCTAGTATTAACACTGTGACATATCAATGACGTTGGAGCAGTATGAGTAGTCTAGCGTCCTTATTGATCCCTTGTTCGCCTAGCCCTTCCAATTGAGTCCAAAACACCAATTACAGCTTCTGTTATGCGAATCATTTGTTTCAAGTATACTCTGTTTATATACCAGACAGACAGACCGCATCACACCATAAAATAGAAAATAATATTTGCACAAGATCAAGCCAAATGTGGTTGTGAACGTGGCAAATAATAATCAATAAACTGAATATAATTTAGGTACAGTAATTCGTATAATCGTAAT